ATTCAATTCAAGCTTCTACTCAGTCTTAACTACCACATACCATCAAATCAATTATCATCATGTCTAGCATCGTGGAGAAAGTTTCTGACGCCGTCACCGACGTTACTGCCGCTCTTGGCAACACATCCATCTCTGACAAGCCCGCCGAGACCACCACTGGTGAGAAGGCTGCCAACACCACTACCGACAAGGAAGCTGTTTTGGCCAGTGCTGCAGAGGGAAGAAGACTTTACATCGGTAACCTCGCATATGCGACCACCGAGGGGGAGTTGCAAGCCTTTTTCAAGGGATACTTAATGTAAGTATTGCCTTCATATTCACTTTCACACTCCATCTTCAAGATCGCCTTCATTTTCTATCAAAATTCGCATGCCACCTGAAATCAGCAGATTTTGGGAAGTTGCGAGTACATCTGCACCTTCCGAATATATTTAATCTGTACGATTTTTCTTACACAAGCTAATACCTTTATACAGTGAATCCACCTCTATCCCAAAGAACCCACGTACCGAGCGTCCAGTCGGATATGCTTTCGTCGACCTTTCTACCCCAACCGAGGCCGAGCGTGCTATCTCTGAGCTCTCTGGAAAGGAGATCTTAGATCGCAAGGTCTCTGTTCAACTTGCTCGCAAGCCAGAGACAAACGACAAGACTGAGACTGCTGCAAGCGGAGGAGAGGGTCAATCTGGCGGTGAAGGTGGACGCCGCAGACAATCTGGTCGTGGACGCGGACGTGCCCGTGGACGTGGAGGACGCCGCAACAACGCTGTAAGTCTTTTTTGAGACATACATTTCCAGAATAACTCTTTACTAATATGACTACAGTCCCGTACTGAGGAGGGCGCTACCGAGGCACCTGCTCCCACTGAGGTTCTTCCTTTGACCGAAACTACCAACCAAGCCACTACTGAGTCCAAGGAGGCTAAGCCACAAACCACTCGCCCACCCCGTGAGCGTCGCGAGCGTGGTCCACCAGCTGATGGAATTCCATCCAAGAACAAGGTCATGGTTGCCAACCTTCCATATGATCTCCACGAGGACAAGGTATGTTCAATTTCAGCCTCTCTCGAATGAAATGATTTGCTAACAAAACTGTAGCTCAAGGAACTCTTTGCCGTCTATGAGCCAACTTCTGCCAAGATCGCCCTTCGCCCAATCCCCCGTTTCATGGTTAAGAAGCTCCAAGCCCGAGGTGAACCCCGCAAGGGTCGTGGCTTTGGATTCGTTACTCTCTCTAGCGAGGAACAACAACAGAAGGCCGTTGCGGAGATGAACGGAAAGGAAATCGAAGGACGTGAGATCGCTGTCAAGGTCGCTATCGACAGCCCAGACAAGACCGATGATGATGTCAACGCTGGCTCTGCTGATGCCAGCGCCGAGACTGCCGCTGCCCCACCAGCCGGTGCCGAAACCGTTTCTGCTTAAGTAGGAAAAGTTGAATGATGTGAATGAGAGGGGAGTCCCGCAGACCTGCAGACGATGGACCAATGCATTGCTATGCGTTGCTTTTGGACCATTGTCGGCGCGTTGTGGAAGCTCTTAAGAGAAAAGGATGAGTTTGCTCCTTTGATTTACTCAATGGATCAATCATCTTTTTGACGATTTTCTTTTAGGTGGACATATGAATACAAACTCGGTGGATTTGTTAATGGCGTCTAAATAGATCTATGGGCTTCTACGCTCTTTCTTTCCGACAGACTTAACTTTTTTCATTTCCGAGTATGGGTTCATAGTTCTTCATGACTCTTTTCCAAAAACTATGTCTTATTACAATTTTGCTGGCATTCTGTGGGTGTACACTAGATTTTTTTCTGACGTGCTTCCATATGGGATGGGTGGGCATGGAAAAATTATTGATTAATGATTGATGACAACCCTATCATTATCAGATCAATGATAATAAAGTGAACGATTTTACCAGCAGAATGATAACTTTCCAAAGTGACATCAAAATTGATGAAGTGACCCACTGTGCTTCCAGCCAAACCTTTGATAACAAAATGTCTCTCAATTTATGAACAAAACCTGCTTCCCCAGTTGAATCGTTGAGTATCGACCCTTAATAAATCGGTTGCCCCTTTTTTCTCAAAACCCAACTCCAATCCTTACCATGACGATACATAGGTAGGCATTTAACCTTGGATAATGATTGGTCTAGATCTCACTTAGCGTGATTTGACCTCCATTGCGCGAACACTCCCAAATTTAGAACTTCCATTCCCCTTTGTAAAGCCCCACCACATTGAGACTACAGGCGATCTACATTCGACGATAAAAATCTATAACCATTCATACTCGTACATATCAATCAATAATTTAATTCCGCTCACTGGATTCTCACCACTCGCGCAAGACAATCCATATCTGAACATACGTCACTGAGCAATTGAGACTTGGAGCGCAAAGAAGCCTGAGCAGGCAGCTTAATCGACAACGGGACTTGAAGAGATTAGAGGGACACGAAACACACAGTCAGCAATTAATTAAACGCCAATAGCAAAAATGACTTCAAAGGCTATGTGGGAGGTTGATCCGGAGACAAGGTCAAAGGTAATCTCCCCTCCATGGGGCGCCCATCCATGAGCGCAGACATCCACTGCCTCGTTTCTAACAAAACTCATACTAAACATATCTTGAACTCAGCTCCTTGATATTTCCAAAACCAATGGCAACGACCGATGTATCGACTGTGGTGCACCATCTCCTCAATGGGCTTCCCCAAAATTCGGTGTTTTTATCTGTCTGTCTTGCGCTGGAGTTCACCGCGGATTGGGAGTCCACATCAGTTTTGTAAGAAGTATCACAATGGATGCTTTCAAGGCGCAAGAAATTGAGCGAATGAGAGAAGGAGGAAATAAGACTTGGAGGGAATTCTTCGATCAGGATGATAGAAACGTCATGAGTGGTATCACGTAAGTGGACTCTATATTTTGCGACACAATTATTGCGGTGGGCGTTGGGCGGTGGGCAGTAGCACTTAACTAACACATTCACAGTTGGGATGATGCAACTATTGCTGAGCGATATTCTGGCGAAGTTGGGGAGGAATACAAGGAACGGCTCACTGCCAAAGTCGAGAAACGCGAATACGTCCCCGTACCAAAAGCCCCTGCTTCAAAATCTGCAACTGCTGCCACATCTTTCTCCAACCATAGTTCTATCAACTCTCGATCACAAACTCCTCTTGGGACAAGAAACGCTAGTCCTTCTAATGGCAAAGTGAAGGTGGACGATAGATATTTTGCTGGACTTGGAGCTGCGAATGCGAACCGATCTGAGGATTTACCACCTTCACAAGGAGGTAAATATGCAGGATTTGGAAGTCAACCCATTGAGAGAGAAGATAATAATGCAAAATTACCCGGCTTGGAGGATTTACAAAGAGATCCGGTGGCGGCACTTACGAAGGGCTTTGGGTGGTTCACAACCACTGTGGGAAAGACGGCAAAGACTGTTAATGAAGGATATATACAACCTACTGCTGCGAAGGTAACCTCATCTCCCTGACATCACATATCGACAGTGGCATTTTCATGTCCGCATAATGAACGTCAACTGACAACTTTCTTCTCAGATTGCCGAATCCGATGTAGCCAAACAAGCACAGCTTACCGCCGCTCAAGTTGCCCGAAATGCGCAAACTGGAGCCAAAAGCGCCGCAGATGGATTCAATCGTTTTGTCGAAGGTAGTGGAGGTGGTCCCTCTAGAAATGTACCTATCGATGAGAGCAAAAAGGATTTCTGGGATAGTTTCGCTGATGCTGGGACCAAGAGACAACATGCACCAAGTGCATCAATTGGAACTGCGGCCGTCAAGAGGAATGGTGGAGGTGGAAATGGAAGTAGCGTTGGGGCAAAGAAAGATGATGATTGGGAAAAGTGGTAGGCAGATAGGGACATGAAAGAGAACATGATTGAAGAGACAATAGGGATATGTGGATAAAGAATAACGGTTGGGTGAATGGATATACATATAGAGCATATGGTCGAAAGAGTTGTTTTAGCGAGGCATGCAAGAAAGAATGTAAGATTTCACGTTTTAATGGTATTTAGTTATGTCTCGTTCAGCAATAGACTGAAATGTAGTAATGTATATTAGTTTTTTATTATAAGAGTTCGTTGTTGCAATCGTAGTTGAGCTTTCAAGGTTATATTGGAATTGGGAATTAGACAAGTGTCCTTTGTTTATGATTCAAGAAGGTTGATGTATGTGTTGCGGATTTCTGGGCCAGTGATTTCTCATTTGAATGCGTGGATATGTCAATAGCCTGCTGTTGTCTCACGTTATCGCGACATCGTTCGTATCGTCTCCTCAGTTCCAAGCAGCATTATTTGTTTGATATTACAAGAACAGTGCCATTATTTTCAGTATACTTGCCGTCAGTACTGTACACCTTCACCCATTTTTCATTTGACGGCTCTCATAATTTGAAGCCTACAATCGAAGAACATGTAGGTCAACAAGTACCTCTACCTTTAGATCATCAAATGGTATATCTCCTTCTAAGTCATAAGTGTGGTCAACTGGACAGCTTTCGATGACCGTGGCTCAATTTAAATATTGTGGTTTTGATTCTGAAACATCAACCAACAATCTCCATAATTCAATCTTTCGTTACCATAGCCAGATTCCAGCCCGGCCAGACAACCTGAAAAGTTTATCGAGGCGCTTGCGCTTATTTTCTTCATACAACATTTCTTCTAGATGAAGAGCCCTCAGTTCATGTGACCGCGGCTAGTATCGATGTCGAGGGATTGTCGACCGCTTCCAACAGACCGGAATCCTATCGCGCGCGTAGATTATTGCACCGCCACTATTCTTATCCTTGATAAGTCTTTATATTCCCGTTGAACCGTGGATTAATAATTAACCTTAAGCCGCATTTGATATAAAAATAGCATCAAGTGAGATTTGAACGATATTTAGAGTTTCCTTTTTTCGTTGCCGAGATACCCTGCATACTGTCAAAAATTCTCCGAACGGATACTCACTCGTAATCATGTCACTTGACCACCACTCCAAATTCGTGAATTCAGAAGAGGAGCCTCTCTTCCCACAATTCGGCAATCTCCCCCCCGAGCTGCGTCTCCATATCTGGAAATATGCACTTCCTCGCGGTCGAACACTCAAGGTAAAAATCGACGCCTACGACGATACGCGAGCGTCCCTGCTGGGAAACTTCTCGGCTATTCCCTCCATCTGTCACGTCAATTCCGAATCTCGATTCTTAGCCCTCAGTATCCTTCGCAATGGTCTCGGTCCCAATACCGAAGAATCGGATTTCTACTGGAACCCCAATATCGATACTATCTACTTCCCCCCCTCCGCATCCTGGACCAACGGCACGATGGAAAAATATCTCTTCAAAGAAAAAATTCCCGCTTCGTATCGCAATCATGGGATTACGCCTGTAGTGCAACATATCGCTTTTCCCCTTAACATCTGGCTCGCGCAAGGTCTCTATCTCGAGCCCCCCAAAGATCGCTGGCTCCTCGATTGGCTGTACAGATTCCCCGCCCTGCAATCCGTCACTCTTCTCATCGAACCCTTTGATCAATGGCTCGGACTCCCTAATACTTCCATCGTCTACCACGAACCGCTCGATGTACCCGTGTCGCAGCTGCTCAATCATAAACCCTCGGAGATGAAAGAGATGCTGGAGAAATCACTTCAAGAATATCGTGTAGCGAATGATGAGACTTGGGAACCACCCCTGGTGGAGATACTGGTGTTGGGGATGAAGAAGTTTAGAGGGGAGAAGAGATGTATTGGGAGGAGAACGAATTTGGATAGGGATGATGTCACAGGGATTTATGAATTGAGAGTTTCGAGGGGGGAGAAGACGGCGAGGAGGTTAGTTAATAGGTGGCCGGCGGAGATTCAGGCGGTGGAGCAGTGGAGCTTGATGGAGCAGGAGGGGGAGGAGGATTTTTAGAATTGAGGGGGTTTGGGGAGATTAGAGGAACTTGTTTGTGGAAGAAAATAAAATAGTCTTTCTGATAATTATCAAACACAATTTTTGAATATCGATTTGGTTTTAGCACTTGAATTCCACTTTGTATTGGGAGACTCTTGAGTCCTTGTTTTGGAAATAGATATATGTTAGATGGTATTTCATGAGGCTCAAGTGAGTTCTAGGTGATCAATTAGTAAATTCGAAAAAATTGACATCTTGAGTTTTTGAGGAATCAGGATATACTTGTATGAACACGATTATGAGGTTTGATAGAGAATGGGAGATAGTGAGCCCTGAGAATGAAATTGTTGGAGTGGGGAGAAATCTGATATCTTCTAGACTATTATTCTGATGATGAATAGTTTGGGCGGTGGATAATGAATGTTGAATGTTAAATTTTGATAAATGAGTGGATTGATTTGTTACCTTGATATTTAGTACGCTTATTAGCTCGGTAGGTTATCTAGTATTAGAGGTGAGATGTCTTTCAAGGGTTTCCGAACTTTGAAGAGAATCTTGTACCTTGAAATTGCTTAGTACATAATTTTCTCAGGAAATAAAAGGGCGACAGTGCTTTAAAGCCCCTGCTCTGGACTTCGATACAAAGTTATCAAAGGAAGGCGTCTGGTGGGAATCTCTTGCTTGAAAAGATTATGCGATTATATGATGTTTGGAGAACAGTGAGGCTTTTTTGGAAACAAAAAGTTGTACGGGACAGAAAATGAAATCTAGATGAACTTCCGCACGATAATTTCTCTAAAGTTGGAAGAATGCAAGCGATTGATCAAAATACGAGGATGATTGAGGTACAGGATTCGGTCAGCCGAGTTGTTGTGATACCATCTTAGCACTTCTCTTGCCTGCGGCTCATGTGCGTTGACGGCTATCAAGCCCTTTCTTTTTTTGCTCTCCGGAGACACATTACACTAAGATATGTTCTACAAAGTATTCAATTTCGTTGTACTTACACGACTCTCATCTCAATATCTCCCCTAGGAAAGAGTATCCGATATCTGAATACTTCAAATATCACTTTCACTAGATTCGAAACGCTTACATGGCGAATTTACACATATCTCACTAGATGTGGTTCCACCAACACGAGTGCCTTACGCTGCTAATTTTTATCATTGGGGATCAGCTGATATGTGCGATCAAATATGGTTTAATGAGAAAAAATATTTGTGCTTGAATAGCTCGACTCGTACAATTTTGAGATCTTTTGCAGCTCAATTAGACTTTGAATTCGAGCTCTGCTTCTCATGGATCGAATCTCTCTGTATTAATCAAACTGATAATATTGAGAAAGGATTACAAGTGCGTCAGATGGGGAGAACATATTCTTCTGCGCTGCAGGTACTTGCTTGGATTGGGGATAAATCTGCAGATAGTAATCTTGCCATGGATTTTGTGGTTACATCATACGAAGTGATGACATATTCTGGCATTCCTACCTATGCGGGTGTACTTTCGATACCTGGTTGTGAGCATAAATCTCCTGGTTGGAAGGCACTTGGTGCTCTCCTACGATGACCATGGGTTCGCGCATGTAGATCAATCAAGAAATTGTCCTAGGGAACGATGTTATTTTGCTCTATAGACAGAAAGCGTTGAGTTGGAGAGCTCTAGGGTTCGTGGCGAATATGATATTAGGGGTAGACTTAGAGAAACTGCTATTTTTTTCGTCAAGATGGATCATTTCCAGATGACTTGGGTGCAACTGCACTCACCTACCAAGTTAAAGAACTCAGAGAAGAGGATAGTTCTATTCCTCTAGAGTACGCTTTGTTTCAAGGCTTGGACTTTAACGCAACAAACCCAAGAGACAAATTCCATGCCTTGTTTGGTACTTCAAAATATTGAGGCTATGGAAATAGATGTCAAGTACAATTCCACAGTCAAAGAGGTATACCGATTCTACAACTCGGATCTTGAATTAAGGGGTCCCTTTGTCACTTTTTAACGCAGCCGAAATCGGAGAATATCGCAGTGACAAGCATACCATCATCAATCATGATCTTCCTAGCTGGGTTGCAGACTTCTCGCATTTCCCGGACTCTAGTCTTCTTTTTATCCCTGCTAGTTTGGCTAACGAAAAAACGCTTGAAGCTTCTAAAGCAACAAAATCTCTGATAAATATCAACTCGACAAATTCAGATAGAGTCTCGATGAGAATTCAAGGGCATTTAGTGTCTCGTGTTACTGCCACCTATCCCTTGGCGTGTCAGGCATGCTCACGCACTCTTGTCAATATAAAATGCTCCTTCGCATTCGTGGAATGCCAGATGAACCTGCGTATTGGGAGCACTTGGAAGTTTTTTTTTCGAAGTTTTAGAAAGTATTCTGTAGTGCAAGAGTGACGCCAGATAGAAATGGCAGAAGGTTTAGTTGAAGGCTTTGATGAAGAAACCGTGGAAAAGACGCGGAAGTCTGCATCGGGGGTTTCTTTCCGTCGACGGATATTTGAGACGGATAATGGGTATTCTGGGATGGGTCAGGAGGGTATGGAGGTGGGGGATGAGGTTTGCTTGTTTTATGGGGGACGAACGCCGTATATTATACGGGGAGTGACAGAGTATCATGGTCTTGAATCAAACCTCGATATGAGTATGTGTTAGTTGGAGATTGTTATGTAGATGGCTGAATGGATGGTGAAGCTATAGAGACGGTTGAAGACAAAGAGGTTATGCTGGTTGGAACGTCCATTATTGAGAGTCGGATGGATCATGGTACTGTTGTTACTTGACTATCTTTCTAGCTTACATAGACTAATTCTTCTATATGTATTCGAGTTGAAACTAAACATCCGAATCGGTGCGGAAGTAATTGTGTTAATGGGGAATCTACACATAGTCAAGACAGCTAGATACACTACTATTCTTTCCAAGCCTCAGCTTCTCAGAAGTCTTCTTTTGTCAGGTGATATTTTACTTTCAGCCTGAACACCTGACTAAATCAATTTTTCGTTTGTCTTGAAGAGAAAGTGATGTATTTGTTATTTATATGGTGCGTGGTATCATCAAGCTCAGAGAGTCTGAATCGTATGAAAGGGAAAAAGGTATTGGTTGAGGGTGAGCACTAACCTTACGTGATCTATTTCTCGTGACGCATTGGTCTAGTATTATATAATCTCCGTCGACCAGCTGTCTGTTCCAGTCAATCATGATAGCTCTAATGGTCTTCCAAATTTGTCAGTCTACAAGCGTTCACCGCACTTCCTGCGATTGCCATTTCAATATTAATGGATTTTCGATCAGCGAATGGAGCCTAATGTCTCTTCCACTGCTGTCTACAGAAAGTATGGGCACTAATAAGCATTTAAATTAAGTCATTATCATCAAAGAAGATTTTTCGAAAGAGTATGTTGATTAAAAAAGACGAAATGAACTCGTTCGTCAGAACGAAAAACAAGCCAGCTGGGGTCCATTAGTTGGTGCCACTTGTCATTTTGCTCAGTCACAACTCACGAGGTTACATCACCCTTATCTCATCTGTCATCGACCTCATCCAAGGCGGTGATCGTGAAAAAAACAGAAATGAATCTAATTCAAGATTTCCGCGAATTTTCTTAATATGTGATGTTGTTAATTAAGTCGGGTACCCTACTTTCGGGCCACCTCCCTTTTGGGCCACTTTTTATACCAAAAATGGAATTTTTAACTTTCTTATTTATAAATAGAATTCATTGAAAATTTATATATATATAATTTAGATCATTTTTAGTTTACCTTGAAAATTTCAGATTTTTAGGAATTTTCTGTATTGAGATCTAGAGCTTTAAAATATCGATTTTTTAATTTATATAGAAATTATATACAAATTTGAAACTTTTATAAAATCTTTAATAACTTTTTAATAGAAATTATTAAAAATAAATTATGAAATTTTATTATAAATTTATAATATATTTATTTTAAAGGATTCAAAAAAAATAGAAAATTTCCTATAAATAGATATTTAAAAGAATACCCTTAAAATTACAGGGATTATTTATACTACTCTAAACTCACTATATATTGTATCTCTATATTTATTAATTTTTATTAATTTTTATTTAAAATTTCTATATAAATTTAAGTTTAAAACTTTCAAAAATATATATAGCTTTCTTTTAATAATTATTATTAAAAAGTTATTAAAGATTTTATAAAAGTTTCAAATTTGTATATAATTTCTATATAAATTAAAAAATCGATATTTAAAGCTCTAGATCTCAATACAGAGAATTCCTAAAAATTTCAAAATTTCAGAATAAGCTTAAAATAGTTTAAATTATGTATGTTCAAATTTTTATTAAATTAGATTATATATTGATAGAGATATTAATAGGCTAAAAAAGCGATTTTTGGTGTAAAAGAGTGGCCTAAAACAGTGATGGTCCGAAAGTAGGGTGGTCGACTTAGCCTGAATATCCATATTGAATCTTGCTGAACATATAGAAAAGTCTTTTTTGGCCTTACTCGGCCTTATTACCACGGAAGAACAACCAGGTTGAAAGTCACAGAGCTTTTGGTATTGGAGGTAATTTTCCAGAATATAATATTATTAATAATATTCTAGTAATAGTGGAAGACTTAGTCACTTTAGCTTGAAGGACAAATCGAATATTATATAAGAGTTGAATTAAAGACAAATTATAAGAAAGAGCTTAATTGGGCTGAATGTTACGATGGTCTGCCACAATAGACGTCACGTGACCCCGACGCTTAGGTAACCGGATCAGAGGGATCATTAGTGATCCAGTTGATCGGATCAGAGGGATCATTTGTGATCCGACTGAGCACAGAGAACGAAGGTCTATATAAAGGAATGGGTTTCATTACAGTGTAGAGCTTCGTGCTCAAGAACAATCATTAGTTTCATTACTATAGTTACGAGAATTGCAACCAGTTACCAACCTTATTGAATTCCTACTTGAAGTTTAGTCTAAACCACCTCGAGAGAACTCTAGACACTTCCACGTGACCCTAGAGGCAGCT